TGTTGCATATAACATTTTTCAGTATTTTGCTATTTCAAAACCATGAAGCCTTGTATACAGCAGAATCTCCAAAAACATTTACAGGTTGATTAACAAAACTCACTTATTTTTTAAGAAGAGACATCCAAAAGTTGTTTGCTACTGCTTTAAGGACATAAATCAGTGTTTCCATGACTGTGAAAAATTACAATGAAAGTGCTAGAAAATACACTGTAACACTATAAATGTCAAGGCAAGGAAATGCACTTTACAGTAAAAATCTCAGAAATATCAATATAAGGGAGACTTGGCTTGGCTAACCAAATCTAAAGAAGAAAGGTTGTGCAGGCCAGAGTCAGTCATGTCCTGACTTTCTGTGTGCACTGCTGCTGGGGAACATGGTTTACTCACATGACGAAGAATTGACAAATTTATTGTTGTTGTTACTCTAGTCTTTACTCACAAAACACACATGAAAGTCCACAGACAAATGGACAAATACATTTCTCAGAGAAGTCCTAGTCAGCATTCCTCAGTGTTTAGAGAGAACTAACAAGGAAGAACTAGAGGAAGACCAAGTGGCAACAGAAAGCGTTTCATTTAAGAAAAATATGAGAGAATGGTCTTCCTGACTTACAAAATCTTCAAGAAGAAAATGCACATCGATCTGTCATGATTTGTAGAGAAGAGGGGTTGGTTTGGGACCAAAAGAGGCCGAGGGAGTTCGTCTTGTCAGGTTCTTTTAGTATTAAGATGCTCCCAGGACTTTTTAAATTGGATTTTTATTAACATAGTGCTCAGTGGTAAGGAACACCTTCCTAAGCTGTGGACAAGCTCTCACACAGTATCTTTCTCTGCAGCTCACCAACTCTGGTTCCTTGAAAGCAGGGACATTGTACCAATAGGTGCCCGACAGGTGGTCTATAAATACAAATGCAGTTGCTTAAGACAGGGTCGCTTCCACGACCTTGAAATCCGGGAAGAGTTTACAAAATGCAGTGCCTTTGTATGTGCACGTTTTCAGGGGAGAGGATTGTCTCAGAGATGGCGCTAAAGCCACTGCCTCAAGGAATATTGTCACCCACTGTTCCAAGTGTTTGAGGCCTCTCCCCAAACACCACAACCTCTTAAATCTGGGTCTTTGCAGAGGCTGGAAGGGTCTCCTAGAACCCGCCAGTGTGACTTTTCCCAGGAAGCGTACCCCAGCCCCACCGGTCAAAGAGCTCTGTCCCTTCTTACAGAGCGCTTCTCTGCCCCACAGGTATCATGTCATTTACACGTGTTGTGGGGGGTTTCCGCGTGCTGGGGTCCGGAATGAGTTCTTCAGCATCCCGGCAGGCCCAGCCTCTTGCTCGGCACCGTGTCCCAGCATTCGGCATCATTTCTGGAATTGGGGCCAAATAATACTTATAAAACTGAACTGTTCCAACACCTCTCCTCTTCCCTCACTTCTTCCACACACAAGGCACCCCAATGTCTGACTTGACGTGTCACATTTCGGACGAATTCTAGAATTCTCTATCTCTTCCAGTTCCTTGCACAGGAACTCCTCAGGCTCCCTAATCTATCACTTAGAGTAATTTCAAGAAAATACAGAAGTGGCGCTGGATTAAAATGGCCCATAATCCCATTTTAACACAAAGGCCAGTGCTGTCTTTACAGTCTTCTCCTCTCCCTTGATTATTTTGGCAGCAGACTGAACAAATAAAGGATTTTGGAATATGGAAAGATGCAATAATGTTTGAACATAAAACCGGAGAGTAACACTGTAATGCATTCATGTTAACGGGATGTAAGTCAGAAGACGGCGGCTGTCAATGTTTGATATTTTATTAGTACGTAGAATCTAATTAAACTGATCGCATTATAAGTATGGCTTCTTATTTCTATGTATTTCACTCTGCCAGAGGGTGTCAAGTGTGGAGTCTGATCTAAAATGGGGGCTTGCAGTGACATTTACTTTCCTGACCTGCACAGCCAAATTAAAGTTTATATAGTTCTCCCTTGAAGCCAAAAGAAATACAAGTTTGAGTCGAAACTGCCTTTATGACTCTCATATGAGGAGCCCAGGCAGAGTTCATAAAGTTGAGGCGTGTCCCGAGGGCACTGTTCTTAAATATGGAAAACGATTTTCTTATCCAGAGCCCAACTTCGTTCACCACGAGATTATACTGGGCATTAGAAAATGAAGCACGGGCCCTGGGAATCTTCAAACTAGAGCATTCATCCACAGGACTGTAGGGTCTTTTTTTTTCTCTTTTTGTTTTTGTTCCTTGGATGTCTGTTTCTATAAACATAATAGGGAAATGTAGAGAGGGGCAACACACTAAGATGAGTTTAAGAATATCAGTTAGGGAAAATACCAGATAACTTAGGTCTCCGAAAATGAAGGGAGATTCATAAAACCAGCATAAAATTAAGGCCCTAAGCAACTTCATCTCAAAAAAGAACCGACAATCTTTGTCAGGAGTTGTAACCGCTGGGCCCTGGGCCAAGAGTCAACTCGGCTCCCAAGTCAGCTGAAGAAGTGACTCACTTGGCTGTGAGCGTGCTGCTGTGTGAGATGGCATGTGCCCGATGGGCACCTCTGGCCTCCAAAGGGAAAGTGCTTGGGTTCTCTTATCGCTCAGTAACAAGCCCTGGGGGCCACCCAAGGATGCTTCAGATGAAAGCCATGGGAAGAAGTCTGAACTGAGGGCAAGAGGACACAGACGATGCATTGAATGCCAAAACACATAAGCACCAAAGAAAAACAACGTCTACCTTTTCCCAGGTAAGATCGCAACCCATGCAATAGCAGGTGTTCTTGTTTAAGGGTTTTAAAACATCAACTTAAAAAAAAAAATCAACCTTAATCACTTTCAAGGGTATCCTGTAACATTTGGCAAATAGACTGCACAGGACTCGATTTATTGGACTCGATTTTAAGATGGTTTCAGAAAATTTCTACTCAGATTTCTTGATTGATTAGTTTTAGAATAAAGTTCATTTGGTGTATATTTAAGGATTTATCAAGGATGGGCTATTTTGAGACTAGATTGTCAGATGGCCACTCTCATGCTCCCTGATGCTAAGAGTTAGGGAAATGTCTACAATAAAACAGAGGGGAACACTCACCATCCTCTCAAACCCTGGAATTCAACGCTGCTTTGACCCATTTTTCCTAGGTCTATTTCTCTTGGTCCTACAGAACAAGATTAGTTCCCTGTGACTGCCTTTGGCATTATTGAAGATGCTCATCAGAGTATCCGAATTCTCTCCTTTTCAGTTAAAATGCCCCTAGTACCTTCAGCATTTCCTCAAAGGATTTTGAATCCTTCTATCGTCTTCACTGCTTTTTCCCTGAACAGTATTAGTTTAACCGGAAATGCTAGGATGCCAGTCTGAAAGGACTCCATACTATATGATTCCAACTACATGCCACTCTAGAAAAGACATTCTAGAGAAAGAGTAAAAAGATCTGTGGGTGCCAGCAGCTGGGAGCTGTGGGGAGAGGGTGGAGTCGGTGAAGCGCGAGGAGATTTTAGGGCAGTGAAACTACTCTGTGCATACTATGATGGTGGATACATGACATCATCATGCACACAGACAGTGAGCCCTGACATCAACTATGGATGTCAGTTAATAATGACTTTTCTTTTTTTTTTTAGATTTTTTTTTTTAATTTATTTGACAGATCACAAGTAGGCAGAGAGGCAGGCAGAGAGAGACAGGAGGAGCAGGCAGGCTCCCTGCTGAGCAGAGAGCCCGATGCGGGACTCGATCCCAGGACCCTGAGATCATGACCTGAGCTGAAGGCAGAGGCTTTAACCACTGAGCCACCCAGGCACCCCAATAATGACTTTTCAACACTGATTCACAGATTATAACTAATGTACCAAACCAGTGCCGATGCTAACGAGAACAAAATAGGAAAACCAACAACAACCGTCAAACAAAACCTAAAGTACTTTTCATAATCCCGTCTTTTACGTCATTTCATACCATAATCCTGTTTTTCACTTACCTTTTGGACCCAAAGGCAGGCTTTTGATTTAGTCCTTATCAAGCTGCACTGCTTATGAGTCTGACAGCTGCTGACCTCCGTTCTCTCACCCAACATGGGCCCTTTTTTCTTGGCCCTTTCTATCCAGAAATCTGGTGGCTACATTTTTTATTCATCTAAGTGACATAAATAAAAGTGAATGAAATAATTTATTCAACAGCTATTTGTTAAGCGGTAGGACCCAGGCATTGCTTGGGGTTCTAGTGAATGAAATGAATGATAGCCTCTGTCTCAGGGGAACTTATATTCCAGTGTAGGGAGACAGACAATAAGCAACGATACCATAAGTGAGTTATAAAATAGCTTAGAAGACACTAAGAACCACAGGGAAAACGAAATCGGGTGGAGAATCATTAATTATTCAAATGCCCTGAACCTGAGACTGGAAGAAATATGGTGGCTTTGGGGCAGTGTAGAAAGGCTGTCTGTGACAGACATGCGCAGAGCCAAGAGTGTGGGAGATGGGGCTGCGGGGGCAGGGAGGGGCTGGATAATGCTGGGTTGTGTATGCTGAGGAAGGATTTTGAATTTTATGCCATCCTTTCCCGCTAGAAAGCCATTCCATTGTTTTACACAACAGATACAACAAGCCTTTTGAAGAGAATGGACAGGAGGAAGGTAAGAGGCGATGTGCGGAGTCCAGAGGACCATGGCGGTGGCAGCAGGGCACTGGGAGGAAGAGCTGACTTCCTGTTTTCTGACTCCTAATGATCAGGCCGATCATGGAACATTCTCTGAGATAGCCAACCCCGGACCAGGAGGAGCAGTCTGGGGCAAGTTTGTTGAGTTTGCGGTGCTGATATGATGTTCACAGGCTGGTAGGTTGTAGGTAAGTCAGTGGATTCATGGATTTGGGGATCAGACAAGAGGAAGGAGCAACAGCATACATTCATTCAACAAGATATGAATTTCCACAGCTAGAGTAATATTTTAGTTGGTATTTCCTACATGCTTGGACAAATACCAGAAAGGCAGGTGAGAGCTGTTAAAGAACAGAGTTTCATGACACCCAGATCTGAGTTGGGATCCTGCTTCCACCAGTAGGACTATTTCCTTGAGTTCACTCAACTTCTCTGAACTTTAGCTCCCTCTTCTGCAAGTTGGAGTCATTACTTCTGTGAAGGGTTTTTGTCGAGCTTGAAAAAAAAAATGTAAAAACGTTAGCAGATTGGTTTTTTGGAGATAAGAATCCTCAAGTCTCTATCTTTGTCCCATTCTTTCTCCCTCACCCTCTCTATTTTTCCTTGTGTAGTTTCCTATGTTAACTAATACCACTTTCAGAAAGGAAATTTGTTCTTACATGCCTGTACCTCTGCAATCTTCTAGTCTAGACTGATATGCCTCTAATAATTGGATCTAGAATTTTTAACATTGCCTAAAAGAAAGTTGTAGATTTAAGAATGCACCATGTTTTCTTTGGTCAAAACTTCACCTATATCTGCCAACTCCAATCTTCTATCACCTACACAAATCCTAAACACTCAATAATAGCGATTTGTCATAAATGTCAATCAGCAATTACTTGATTTCAACCTAGGCAGCTGAGGAGGAGAAACCGAGGACAGAAGTGTTCCTTTAGATTTGGGGATTTGCAACACAGCTTTGGTGGAAAGACAAGAAAGAGAGAAAAGTGAAATGTTGATGGTCCTATTATAAAATGATTGATCGTTTTGCTCAGCCGAACTGAGAAACTAGGATAATATTCCCAATGACTAAAGGTCAGTGTTACTTGGAATAAAACAGAGGGTAAGGGGAAAGAATGCCAGGCTCAGTGGGATTTGCAGTTAGAGGTGGGATAACCACAGTGCTGGCTTGGCTCAGGGTGTGATAAAAGAAGAAATTGCCCACGTGGCATGGGAGTGACGACTGACAGGGTAGAAGAGAAGAATATTTTGAGAAAAATTATAACAAGAAATATGTATCTGTTCCAGATATCAAAACATACTATATAACATTTCATGCTTAATATAAAGAAATACAGATGAGGAAAAGAAAACGTATAAGTGGAAAACCATAGGGAGCCCAGAACCTGACCTGGGTTAGTGTGGGGTTATTGAAACATTGCTGGGCCATGAGTGGGAAAAGCAAAAACTTAATGATATTGGGCTAAAATTAGATAGTGTTTGAAAAAAAATATTCAAATAATCTCCAAATACATGAAAGAACTAAATATTAGGGAAAACATAGGTGAGTTAGTAGGAAGGCAAGATTTCTTAGAACTTGAAGTGATAATAACATGCTAAGAATTGGAGCAATATAAGATAGAAAAAAAGCCAGATTCTTACATGCAACTAATGAATCGTTATATCAAATGAAACATTTGTTTCAACTAATGAAATATTATATCAAAAACTAATGATGTACTATATGTTGGCTAATTGAATTTAAATAAAAAAACAGATTCAATTAAATAAAAATTAAATAAATTAAATAAAAATGTAAAATCTTTGTAAGCAAAAGTAAGGTTAAAATAAAAATGTGAGGGGTGCCTGGGTGGCTCAGTGGGTTAAGCCTCTGCCTTCAGCTCAAGTCATGATCTCATGGTCCTGGGATTGAGCCCCACATCAGGCTCTCTGCTCAGCAGGGAGCCTGCTTTCCCCCCGCCGCCCCACCTGCCTCTCTGCCTACTTGTGATCTCTGTCTGTCAAATAAATAAATAAAATCTTAAAAAAAATAAAAATGCGAAAGAAGATTTGGTAACATACACAAGTAGAATGCATATATAAAGCATATAAAGTAGTATAGATTGGTACCTAATGGAAAGTTAAGTGGTTATGAAAATATTCATATAATTTGGGCCAGTATTCTAGTGTCTAGAAATTTATCTTTAGGAAATAGTAGAAAGGGGAAAAAAGCTAGGTCCTTGTAAGTATTAATTGCAAGACTGTAACTATAAAATAATAAAAACAAACCAAGTACCTAACAATAAGGAAATGATAAAGGAAATTAGGACATAACAACTCAATGACATATTTAGCAATAAAAATGGTAATTTGAAATGCAATGTAATACCATGAAACATATTTGAGATAATTTTTGAAGGTTCTGGTTACATCCTTTATATGGTTATGGACAAACACCAAAGTGGTACACTGAAAAGTTAACACAATTTTTTAGTGAGCTAAGGTTATGGGTGATTTTCTTTCTTAAATTTCGTTGAAGAGTTTAAACTATTGTATGGGTGATTCCAGCAGAAGACACATACAAGAAATGGAGCATGAGGAAGGATCCAGGTCTTGCTGAAACCAGAATGGTAAGTCACCCAGGCTAAAGGCACAGACTGCAAAAGTTCTAGGTTGGGTCTGAGGCCCCAAGTCCATTTCCTTATCACCTTAATTCCCTAACCAACACTACAGTTAATTTGTGTTACTCACAGGAAGTAGGTTTGCTTAGATGACTGACTTAATTACACCAGATGTGCCTCCTCCCTTTTGAATGACCCCTCCTAGTAACTACAAGCCACCAACATATCTGAGGCAATAATAATTGAGGACAGTCAACTCTAAGCTTCTTAAATGCATAAAAACTGACACTCTTAAAGTTTTGGCTTTTTGAAAACTTCCTGAATCTTCTCAAAACAAAATGGACCCATAAAGACCAACACTATCGGTACATCCCTTTCTGTGAGACCAGACAGAACAAGATTTCTGTACCTGTGTGTTCTTCATTTTAATATAGTTCCTCCACCACACAACTTGTGTATCTTTTTTAATGACAAATCACTAGAAAAGGGAGAAATGAGGAGAGAGTAGACCTGAGAGGAAGGAGGAACTATGAAAGGCTATTGTTCTATAAAATAAAGCACTGGCATAAGAAGAAGAAGTGGGGGGATTTGAGGAGGCTTCAGGGGCTGATGGAGTTTGTCACAGGAGAGCAGCTCTAGGGCACAAAGAAATTGGGGATTGGAAGAAGAGACTCTAGACAGGCATTGGTCCGAGTTTTGAACCTATCATTTAATGTCCTTTGCGAGATGCATGTACTGACTGGAATGCCTTTTTAATTAGTTTTGTGGTGAACTGTGTTTTTGTGTGCAAACTGTTAATATGAGAAAAGGAGCCACACAGAGCCCAAGAATGTGTGAGCTTCTCCCTCCTCTGCCACTGGATAAATACCAGGATATTCTGACGTCGCTCTCAAGAAGGAGGCCCAGGGCTGTTGAGTGCTTCTCACCCAGAGAGGATGAAGTTCCTGAAGAGAAGGCCCTGTTGAAAGGTTCAGGGGAATTTGAGTTGAAAGTTCTCTGTTGTGTGTTTGTACCTAGGAAGGAAAGTGAAACCAGAATCATCCCTATCAGAGCTAAATGACAAAACAGGCAAATCAGAACAGTATTTCCTTCTAAAGACAGATAGTGCCCCATGGAAATTCCTCTCTGGGCTAAAGCAATGAGAGGCAGATCTGTAGTTGTGCCACATTTTCACTATTCGTTTTCTTAAGGGCTAATACATAAGATATTTAATATTATGTATAGGGTATAGACATCAATCAATAAAAATAAACAGACATGAACTTTCTTTTGCTGGAAGGAATAAAATAGTGGCTGCATTGACAGGGCATTGAGAAGAGGGTGGCCTTGGAGCAGTGACCATCCATCAACCAGTTGGAAATATTTCAATATTTTAAACAAAAACTATGGCCATATTGGTACTTACTAATTATCAGCCTTGGTCCCTCCTCTTCTCTCTTCCCCTTGATAGCATCAGCCTTTCTTTGTTCCTTTTTTGCCCTCTCCAGCTGGGTGTGATTCCCTCTCACCCTGTTCATAAGTTACTCAATTTCCTTCGTGCTCGGAGTGAATTTATGTGTGTGACTGGGATTCTACAGGTAATAGCAGATTCTCTTATCTGACGAGCATGAGGCCAAGTGGCCTCCTTGTGATACCTCCACTGCCATGGAAGCTAAGGTGGGTCATGGGTAAGAAGCAGAGGGTTCCCACGGTGACAAAGTTGTGCTAACATTGAGCAGCATTTCTACCACAAGTGTACCAGTGCAGGGCATCAGTATGAACACCCTTGTAACCACTGCCTGCTTGGAGTGCCAACAGGGGGTCTTCAATTCCAGCCCACCAGTACAGACAAAGGAAGCCCATCACTTACATTTCTCAACATGCTACATGCTGGGCAGGCAGCCCACGTGTCAAGGAAAACCTCGCTCTGATTTCACACCTGGCCTGGAGTGGTTGGTAATGATCTAGATGTGGCCTCTGAGCAGAAGGTCTGGGGTGGTGCACTGGCTCTCCCACTTACTGCCTGAGGGCCTCTTGGTTACTTCACCACTGTACATCAACGATCTAAAAATGAGGACATAAACTGTTGTTAATTTACAGGTCTGTTGTGGAAATCAAAGGAGTTAGTTTTTGCTAAGAACCCAGCGTGGTGCCCGGAACATAGGAAGGACTCAACTTTTAAAAGTACTGTGATCATCAGTTTCTTTCTTTTCCTCTATGCCATCGCTGAGACTAGCTCAACTCCCTAACTCTGATCCTATTTCTTATTTTTACTCATGTCTAAATTTTGAAAATAGCTTAGTTTGTGCTAAGACACTGCTTCTCAACTTTTTTTTGGATTCATACACTCTTTTGATAAACATAAAAAAAATTTTTTTGCCCAGCTCTCCAAGGAGATTTTGATACACTCCTTAATAGGACTTGCTTCTATTACCTTTTCCTAATTCCCTATTGTCCTTCTTGATGATAATTAATGAACTATAGCATAGCTTTTTAATGACAGAATTATTACTTATCCAATTTGACATGTCCACAAAATTCCCAAGTAGTTAAACAATCTGTTCAATGTTGGCTCTCACTCCTCCAGAGGGAAAGCATTAGGGAACGCCTCAGCAAACGTGTGGGGATTTGCAGAGCTTGACTTAGAAGAGGGAATGCATGCTGAAGGCTATCATGAACTCCAAATTCAGAGGACAGAAAAGTCAAAAGTCAAGAAGGAGGTCAAGTTTAATAAACCAAAGAGAGACAATGGAGTACTGAGCTGGAAAGAAGCAAAGCCTGGAAAGTCAATGCAAATTTACTACAGAAATAAAAGCGAGAATCTAGATTCAAAAGAGAAAGAAGAGGAAAAACAGAAGGTCAGGTATTATTCCCAGTGACATGCTTTCGTATGACAGCCAGGGAATGGTTTATAGTAGATAAAGCATCAGGGACCACCTAATGGTTTAATGGTTTGAGGAGTGTTAATTCCCAGATATGCTCAAGTCCCCCCTGCAGATTGTGTATCCATATGGCTTTTGGAAAGTTGAAAACAAAAATCACCATTTGACAAATGCACAGTGGTAATTGCTTTAGGCAGAAGTCATCAATAAGGGCTAAAATCAGTGGGGGAGGTGAGTATGATGAGAAAAAAGATATTTGCATTGTTCAGTTTATCTCCCCAGAAGATACTTAATAATTGCAGAGGGAAAATCATGACTTTACAGTGGAGAAACCTGGCAGACATTACCCTACCAAAAGACCGAAGTTAAAATCACTGGTGGTGTGGGGGAATAGATTACCATATGTCTTCTGACGCAATGTAGTTTGAAAGCACAAAAGTGATGTTGTGGGAACATGACAACTAAATGCAACTTGTGGCTCAGGCTGGATCTTGAACCAAGAAGAACAGTAGTGGGGGTGGGGGGATGCTGCGTGATTTAGTCTGTTGGCAGAACTTCTGCCTTAGTCAGAAGGCAGAACCTCTGCCTTCTGCTCAGGTCCTGATCTCAGCTGGGGTCCTGGGATCTAGCCCTGCAACAAGCTCCTTGCTCAGCAGGGAGTCTACTTCTCCCTCTGCCCGTTACCCCCTGCTTGTGCTTTCTCTCTCTTTCAAATAAATAAAACTCCCTAAATATTTTTTTTTAAAAGAACATTAGTGGGACTCTGAAATTTGAATATGGTGTATAGAAATATTAATAGTATTCTGCTGATTTAAGTTCTTGATTTTGATCATTATACTACAGTTATGCATGACGCTGACGTTTGAGGAAGCTGGGAGAAGAGTATATGAAAACTGTAGTATTTTCACAACCTTTTTGAACTCTAAAATTATTTAAAAATAAAAAGTTAAAAAATAATTTTTTAAAAGACCAAAATTTATAATAGCCCCGGAAATAATAGTAAGCAACTGCTAAGTACACAACAGTTACTTAATGAAGGTGGTGGTAGAAATTTCCATCAAACAGAGCACCAGGAAGCAAGGCTGAGGAATCCAATAAGAAGCACACAGGAACTGTGTGCTCCAAGATCAAAGAGCGTGACTGACCTGGGGCGAAACACGAGAAAGCACTCGCCCTTAGGGAAAGGACTGCTGGTTGCTGAGCTCAACTTCCCACAAGCAAGTGTGGTAGTTCTAGTTTCAGGAGCCACAGCATGGACACCACACGGAGAGGGATGCTTCAGAGACAAAGGAGGTGGGCTGCAGGTGGGCATGGCCAAGCTGCCACAGCAGCCCTAGGCTATTCCATGGGAAAGGCAATGCATGTCTATCGGGCTTCACCTCTTGTTACTTTGAATCTCGTTCTGTCAGCTGAAGCTAGTCCTACCTCTGTTATCTGCTTGCTCTACCTCTGAGATGCCCGGTAAGACTCAGAGAACTAGGCTCCCCCACTCAACTTCTTCTTTCTGGCTGTCCGTGTACATACCCCATCCTCTGAGCTCACCTGTACTCTTTGTTTTGTATCATTTCCGTACCACAAACCCCAAAGACCAGGCCAGGGATATGGGGTCACGTGGCGTAACACTGCTCTCCCAGAGGTGCAATGATCCCATTCAAAGTCCTGGGGCAAAGACCGGAAGAGTGACTGCCTGGCCTTCAAGGCCCTTCAAACTACTACTCTATCTTCTCACGCCTTTCCTTCACTGGGCCTACCCTTGTTCACTTGTGCTCCAGACCTACTGTACTACTAGTACTCCCAGCACTACTAGTACTAGTACTCCTACTAGTACTACTGTACTACCTGTACGTCCCTGTGTTCCAAGATTCCGTGATGCCTCAGAGCCTTTTACACAACAATCCCTCTTCCAAGAACATCCTCTGTGTACTTCTTTACCTATACAACCTCTCATTCTTTAGGCCTGTGCTTAAATATCGTATCTTCCAAAAACACTTCACTGACCTTGGAAGATGGGGTTAGATGCCATTCGGGCGTGTTAACATCTGAACTTCATCTTACCCCTCCCATGGCACCCATCACGTTGTATTACAGGTACATGTTCCCTTGTCTGTACAGCTACAATGGGACTTACCGACCATCATCCTGTGTCCTCCTTCCTCTCTTTTCTCTTGCCCTTGGTAGAGGCAGTCTTTTGTGTTCTTTCTTTGCCCTCTCTAGCAATTGATTCCCTCAAGGGTAAGGACAGTATATCCCCAGAATCCAGCAGCATATCTGGCATATAGTATGGTTTCAATAAATAATGGATGAATGAATGAGAGGCTTTTTAATAGTATATGTCGATCATGACTTATGCCAGTGGTGTCATACTGGTGGCACATAATACCTCTAATCTTCTCAAAGTGCAGATACTGCTCGCTTTTAGGAGACCACCCAGACCCCCCACAGAGCCCAGCTGCAGCACTGTCTCATAGCAACGCCTTCCCTCAACAAGTCCCCTGGAAGAATTCCCACAGGAGGGGTTGGAGTGGGGATGGGCAGGACTTTCCCGTGGGCTACACTGATTTCACTAATCTCATCCTCACTACTGTGTCATCCGGTAGAACAAGTCAGTCAAGTCGCATGTACTGCCGCCTCCAATTCAGGCTGTAAGGAAGAAAGGAAGCATGTGTTCCATGTTGTAAAGAGAAACAAAGGGAAAATAATAAGGCTTTAGAAGAGGTGGATGATTTTAACACCTCCATATCTGCACTCATTGGCTCAATACAGCAAACCCTAGTTAGTAAAATAAGACCAAAAAAAAAAAAAATGTCCTACTAAAGAAGCACACAAAACATTTGCATTTGAATGAGTAAAATTCCAAAACCTCAATACTGTAAAGCAGCAGCTGTGGGGCAGCAGAAAAAGAGTTTTGGACTCGGATCTGGGCTCCAGGCCTGGCTCTGCCATTCAGTAGCTGTGTGACTGTCCAACTTAGCCGTTCTCAGCTTGGGTTTCCTCTTCAGCAAGTGGAATGCTGCCCTAAAAGATCTTGACAACCCCAAACCATGTTAAAGTCTTTCTTGTTGTGTGTAGCAGACACAAATGGCAGTTTCCAATTATCTTCACCCTTGTCACCTAGTCCACATCTAGGTTACTCGGTTGGTCCAGGAGTGGCACCTGGAGAGATGGATTATTATCTGTATTTCCTCCAATTTGGTAGTGGCTGGAAAAATGCTTTTCAATCCGAAAGTCGCTAGGCAGAAGTGAAAAGTGAGTCTAGCCTGATTTATTTGAAGATCATAAAAATCTACAAACCTTCTTTTCTTGCTCCGTGCAACAAAATCTTTCTTCAGAAGTTGAAGAGTTAGACAACATTTTGTGTGATCCTGTTTTGTCTAAAGTTTACCTGCCTATAATCCCTCCATTCTAGATATCCTGGGGCCTTCAAGAATGCCTGTCAGCCCTACTCTTTGGCAGAAACTGTGTATTTCTATATGATATCTCTATTATTATTCCCTTAAAGCATTAAGTCATACACTCCTAAGTATTAAAGATATTCGATTCGATGAGAATGTACCATGTGCAAATTTCCAAGTGGAAACTTGATATACAACATTTTTTGACTGTCAAAATGCCCCTTTGAGAGATAAATGAGATATTCTCTTCACTTTACAGGTAAAATCATGGGAGTATCTCGCCCACAGTCAAATCAAGGTTGGAGCTGAAATCGAAACCCAGGGCACCCTAACCTTGCTTTTCTACCTCTTCTTCTGAAGGTCAGGTTCCTACCTTTCCCTTCTGTGGTTTTTATTCCCCAATTCTAACACATTCTTTATTTATAGGAAATACTTATTAGCATCACTTGAGCTCTTCCTAATAGACTCCCTATTTCAGTATAATCAACTTAGAGCCTTACTAGCAGTGAAGAGGTCTAACCCAGAAGGGCCTGGAGGTAAATCCTCAAGAGACCTGATGGTTCAAGACTGCGGCTTCCCAGCTGCTGTGCAAGTGGGGTGACCGATGAGCTTCAGAGGGACCACACAGGAGGTGACAGTTATTCTGGTTGACTGGAGATGCCGAGGAATGAGAAGACAGGGAAGACTTTCAGTAAATACGTAATAGGAGGCTGAGTGACTGGAAATGGAAAGTGGTGGTACATGAAGACTCTTGCTTACACATGGGAAGGTGGGTGATGTTCGTCATACACTGAAATCAAGGAAACAAAGGGCTTGGGGGTGGGGACAGAACGGAGTGGG